GTGGCGGTTCAAGAGTGGGAAGATCTTGCTTTTGCCATACCTGCCAGGCATGGATGGCATACACAGAATGAGGCCGAATGTAGGCTTAGAGCATCTGAGGAAAGAGGGAAGGGTTAAAGCGCCCGAATGCCCTCTGCCAAAGGCCAGCATGTTGCTTAGAATTTTTCTTGGCTTTCTCGACCTGATCGGAACTGCTCAGATCTTCCTGCACTATCACGCCTAGATCTCATTCCGTTGAAGTGCGCTGCAATGTTTGCTCCCCCAGTCTGTATTCGTAAGTGACTTTATGAACTATGCACAGCACCTTGTACTTTGTAGCGTTGAACTGAAACAGGTTTTGAGTCGACCATCCGTAGACCTTGTCAAGATCATTCTAACCTGTTGCATTGTCGCTGGTTGTCCTAGTGGCCCACCCTAAATTATGATCATCAGCGAACTGTAAGGAGTTGGAGGTGACCACTGTCGTGAGATCGTTAATGGAAATCAAGAATAGTCGTGGACCACGTTTTGAGCCCTGAGGCAATCCGCACTTACTACTGATGGAGACAGAGTTGACGGCGCTCAGATGTCGTTGAAGCAAGAAGTTATCTATCCAACGAAGGATTAGGTCACCAATTCCACAGTAATTAGGTTTTGAAGGAGGATACGGTGGTTCAGACGGTCAAAGGCCTTTGCGAAGTCCAGATTTACTGCATCAACACCTACGCCGCTGTCGACGGTCTCAGTTCAACTGGATCTAACAAATAGCAAGTTTGAAGTGCAAGATCAGTTATTGCGAAATCCATGCTGTTCTTGTCCTATGACATTGAGTTATTCCACGTAGTTCATGAGCGCTTCGGCATCGATCGCTTCCATGAAGTTGTAGAGCACCGAAATCAGTGTTATTGGGCCATACTTGACCGGATCTATATGATTTCCCTCCTTATGGTTAAGATTGATCATTCCCTGCTTCCATATTGTTGGAACCGGCATCTCATCAAGGCATTGTTGGAAGAATTTGGAGAGTGTGTAAGCCAAGTTTACTGCAGCCAATTACAACGCAATTGGACCAATATTATCCACGCCGGGAGAAGTATGCTCGCGAAGCGAAATTAGCCTTTTCATAACCTCCGCAGTCGAAAACTTGATGTGGCTAAGTCCTGGTAATTTTACGACGCGCGAAAACCATGTATGGGGCGATGTCGTGTTCTGAAAGTTCGGGGCGAATTGTTGACATGGGACGGTAGATGTCTCAGTTGGCTTTGTAGAAATAACACATGACGTGTAAGGCAGCAATTCCTCGCTGCACATTTCAGGACTTGTGAACGTGTCTGTAGAGGAGCTTGGGTTTTGAAAGGAATTTCTTAGCTGGGTTCTGTTGATGCTGTATTTTATTTTGGCGTACCAGGAATACACAGTGTTTTCTTTGAATCCTATTTGCTTCCCAAGTTTCGGCACTCGTTGACTGTTGTATCTTGTCCAGAGTAAATTCCTCGTGAGGAAACACTTCTGCGTTCTGCTGCGTATGAAAGATTTTACTGTCTTCTCTCGAGAATATATTTTCCTTGAAGCACTAGTTACTAACCTGTTGAATTGGTGCGCAAAATCAGACCAGGTGACATCGGGGGATCATTCTGCTAAAAATGCCCTGTTTTTAACATTTTTACTTTGAGCAAGGAGCCATAATGCTAATAAGCTAACAATGCTCTGTGTTTTCCGCGGAATACTCTGCATAACGGATGTAATTGAACATGAGTGTTGTATGGTCGTTACGACCCAAAGACTCACTATTGATACCGTTTCGATCCTAAGCACTTCATTGGTGAATACGAGATGCAGGACACCCGGTTTGTTTCCCGTCCTGAATCATGTAAAATATTTGAGGTGATTGTAGGGTGATAGTCCACTAATTAGCTAATATACTTCCATTTTGAAATGTTTGTGGGTACCGGCTGGGGTTTCTATGACGTGAAGATTGATGTCACAGTTCATGAGAACGTGGCTGCACGACTTTGAGAGAGTCGTCGTCATTTCGGAGTCTAGGCGGTTGTCCATTTCTAAACTAGCCGATGGAGGTCGATACACGACACGTAACAAGCATGCATCTCCTCGGCGAAGGCGAAGACGGCATCAAAGCGCATCGACTCTCTGAACCTCTGGATCATCGACGAGCTCAAGGAGTACTTCGCTGTGATAATAAAGTGTTACTCAACCTCCTTTACGTAGTCGATCGTTGCATAGAGTAAACATCCCAGATAATGCGACTTTTGCATCAGTGATCGCTTCGGTCTCGCTTATTATAACAAGGTTCCTTGACATCGAGGACTGTTGCAGGCGAAGCGCCGTCAGTTTGCATAAAGCACCTTGTGCTTTGATATAAAAACATGAGAATGATTCAAATGTTAGGTTGTTAGTGGGTTTAGACAACAGGTTTGAAACTTGGCTGACCATAATAAGGTCGGCTGCTACTCGTACTTTTTAATGGGCTTTGGTTTGCGCGAATGACTTGGTATAACACACTGCAACATGCAGTCGGGTTTGTAATGACCCAGCTGGTCACTTAGGTCCTGTGGTGTTTTGCCGGATGCTATGGCGGCTGCCAGGTCAGTCTCTGTAGTGGCCGCTGCAACAACGGGTGTTCCCGCTGAGTTGCTTCACTCCATTGATAAACCAGTAGTCTCTGGTCTTAAATCTGCTGCCTTTAGTCGAATTTCTGTTGACTGCAAGTTCCAGAAGGTACACCAATTCTCTAGAACTGCCTTTACAGTTAGCTCAGACGGTAAGACCAAGTTCTGCAAGCTTGGACCATACCCTCTGATTTGGTGACACGAGAATCCTTGTCAAGGAGGTATCAAGGACATTTTCTAAAGACAGCGTCTCGCGAATGGATCACTATTGCTCTAGGTCATGTGCCTGAACTTCTTCAGGAGGTGAAGTTTGAGCCTCGGGAACGCCATGAATAATGACGGTTTTCAGCTCGTGTTTTCAGCTTCCCTGTTTATTGTTCATATCGTTTGAACGGTCTTTCCAAGGAATATCCGGTAAGATGCACCCACTGTTGGATGCTCTGTGGTGTTGATTCACAGCGAGCAGAATGCATTCCTTTTATTCCGCGAAATCTGGTGTTACTCAAAATATTTAAGGCTCGCCACAATTTAAGGAGTTTGGGTATCGTAAAATGCTTAGTGGGTTCAGCGCGCATGCTGATTTCACTACAGATGGAATCCCACTGATTATCAGTTTACCACTTGTTGTGTTGGATTTGGATACAGGAACGTTAGTGCACACGAGACTTAAAGCAAAATGATTACGCATCGTGGTTCTCGGCTTAAGAGCACTAGGTTCTTTTGTTTTTCGTGGATTTGCGGACCGCACTGGCGATAGCGATCCACGTTGAGGCAATATTTTGCCTTCACCGGTAAGTGGAGTCACAAGTGTCTTTGAGGACGTTTTCCTAGTTGTGACCGCTGCGTAGCATGTCCAGTTATTCTTTAAAATGGGATTGCTGGGGTTTTGTGTTTCAGGTATGTCAACTGAATTACTACACCCTTGGAGAACGCAGAAGCGTGTCAATTTGGGAACTATTGTTCATTTAGTGGTGTCATTTGGCTAGTGGCTGTTAGAGACTGGGACGCTGTGGTAAGGTTTGGATGCCTAGCCCTCTTCTTCGGCCTAAAGGGGGAGTTTGTAGGTGTTCGTTCATATGCAAGTGTAGCATTGTTTACTTTTACAGATGCATTGTTGGCGTTCACCAGTTGAGCAATTGTTTCCGCCAATTTTTCACAGTTTTTCATTAGGAATGTTACACAACTAACCACAAGGATGGATTTTGCACAACTGGCAGAACCAAAATGCTTCGGTTTTGTTGCTGTATTGTCTAGTTTTGAGTGCACTCATCCCTAAACCCTTTGAATGGTACGGTTTTTGACAGTTTAAGCAAACCGCACTAGACTTAACGGTGTTTACACATAGGTCCTCATTAACTTTTGAATGGGCCATGTCCATTTGGGGCGTGCACATTTGCGTTGTGACTTGCACCAATTCCATAAAGGATTATGTAGGAAAAGTGAGCTCAGGATCTAGGTTGTAGGTGTCTCACTTGTCTAATTCTCCACTAGCTTAGAATGGAATAATTCTACTGATTTATGTGGTCACGGTCAGTAATGGGCAGCGAGCTAGGATTGATTACAGATGGTGGTGATATGGTGTAGAGATTCCACAATAACAAGGTGGAATGGAGAAGCTGAACGTGTGCACTACACCAGGGGTAGCAAGAGGATAGCAATATTGACGCACCGAGTATAATTTCGCTTCACTTTGCGCTGGTTTGAGGTCAGATGTTTGCGTCCTGCTTTTCAGAGGGGACAGACGTGTGGCGCCCGGATGAGTCAAACGTTAGTTAAGGTAGATAGGCGACGTGGGTGCTACCTATCCAGCCGGTAAGTTGAGAGGCAGCAATGCAGCGTAGGATTAAGGAAAATGCTGACTTGAAAAATAATGGCTAATGACGATGGTGGCTGTTCCATGGGCAGAACAACTTGCTAACTATCGCTTTTTACAGCGACTGGAAGGATTGGTAGTAAGATGTTCGGGTGACTCTCATATAGATCTTTAAAAAAGGACCACAAGAGATTTTGTGCGATGCGAGGAAAAATAAATTCCCCAATAAGACTCAAGCACTGTTGATTTCGATATTGCAATAGCACAAGTAGCAGATGATCCACGAATGACAGATCCAAAATGTGAACATTGGTAATAGGAGCTCGCGGTGTCAAAGCGAATGATAGTACCTAGGACTTTGTGAGAGTAAATCCGGATTTAAAGGCAAATAAAGCAGAAGGACGGCCTTAGGCAACCGCTCGGTGAATTTTTATCTCGGATGTAATAGCATTTTGCTGCAGAGGTATATTCAAGGATGGAAATGACGGCGAGTTATATTCATTAAAATTTTCATTGAGAAGGTAACACTATCTTTGCATTCCTGTAAACAAATTTGCATTTATCGAATGTATAAGCAGCGTTAAAAATACAACACGCAATTGCATTTGGTCTTGCGGCTTTCCATTGAGTCCGGGCAAACACAATTTCAAATAACGACTTCGATTTTCTAATTAATATTCTTTGGGTGCCCAATTGGCTTCCACGTTGAAATCGCACACCTCTTTCATTTGTAAATTTAATCTAAACATAAGTTCATGTTGTACTTCCCAGAAGGATACGTTTGTTCGGCGCACTAAAACATCAGCTATTCCATGGTAGGTTTGCAGATTGCGAATGCGGCATTTCCGTATAAATCCGGACGTTAATTTGATGATCTGCATGTGTGCAAGAGAGAAAAGAGATGAACCATCTTCTCAATCGTTTTCAGCGAACCTAAAAGTATTTTCTTCACAAGTTAGTTAAGCGATTGGGTGCAAACTAGCTTTCAGATTAAAATGCGTGTGCAACTTTGCAAGCACATACTTCTTTGCAATAAGCCATCTCGGACCAATTCTTTGGGAATGATTTCTTCACAAAGGCCACCAGAAATTCTAGCGCAGTAGAACAGAAGTGATTAAGGTGCTTGGTAAGAGGGAATTATAAAAGCAAAATAGATAGAACTGCAGGTCAACTGCAAAGTGTTATACAATATACAGTCTGCTCGTAGTAAAGCGAATGAACATAATGTAGGAATTATTTCGATTCCGATTTACTTAACGTGGATGATAGTAGCTGTGTTGTGAACTGCGAACAGATTCATTCAAGCGTACTACAGCTTCACTCACCGAAGTCTTCACCTTGCTCGGCAACTTCAGAGGGAACTGAAGCGAAACAACATACGTGGAGGTTGATGAATCTCAGTTCAACAAGTGTCAAATGTGTCCACCATGTAGTTGTCAAACGGTGTATGAGTTTCCTAAACAGCCAATATTCGGTTCTAGCACACAGCGTTAATGACAGTGCCAACCTGACTAGATATGCTCGTTTAACTTCGTTTCGCCAGTGTATTTGAGAATTTGCAAGAACAGTCGGAATTTGCCTGGAAACGATTTTAACAAAATCTCGGCTTGACTGACGCCGAACGTGTAACTAACTGCCAAGATGCCAGCGTTTTAAACAAGCCATTGGAATGAATATAATTATCAATACGAATTAGTGTTTTTATACCATTCAATGGATATTAGTGGAACAGGCCGTGGTATTTCGTTAGCACCAGCTTTTATTCGCAAGCATAAAAATGTTGGGTGTGTTCACGAAACAATGTATGAACTCTATCCCTCCACATTATCCTCAATTCGTTTGCGCTTTTAAAATATTATCGTCTTGATAGCTATGTCTACTCGTCACTGACGCGACACTGCTATGCCGGATATATTTCCTATACGTACACCCTGTGCATCTGGATACATGCGGTGCATTACAACGACAGAACAGCATAATTCAACTTTGCAATTCATACGTAGTTATAGGTGTGGATAACGCAATATCAAACTATGGTATTCAGCTAGATGTAGATAATCAAGGTTGAGTCGGATACGCCTTACCATGAGCTCAAGCAACAAATGCAGGTTGGCTAAAGACACTAAGTTAATGATGATTTTTCAAAAGCGGAGTTAATGCTACTCCCTGCAAATGAGCAAAGTGAGGTTCACTGTGGAATATCTACACTTTGCTTTATCTTCCATTACATTTCTCTCAACTTAGACACACTAGCTTTACGTACTATGCTGTCAGTTCTATTTTGACTCACAATAGTTCAGAGATTGTCTCGGGTCCGAATAAGTTCTGTGCATTCAGTCAGCAATCCTCGTTAGAGAAGAAAATATTCACAAGCAATGCCGTCCATGTACTGACATAATTGCAAACATTATACTGTCAATGGAGCGCTTATCAGCTACAAATGCTTTATGTACACTAATTATTCATAACTAAACTTCGTTCTGGTACAGCAGATCTATAGACGTTTAATTTTTGCATTGCATAGTCACATTATTTGAAATACATGAACGAGTCAACATGGCTGTCAACTATAAACGTTCAGCGAACAAAGGCATCAAATTTAAGAAAACGTAGTTTGCTTCCATAGCTAAAGGAATATGAGTTTCTGGCCTATATACGTCTGTGCATATTTGAATAAGGTTACTTCCCTCAAAATAACTTCCGAAAGTTTCAGCTAATTACAAGGCATGTAGATATTCGCATAATCGGAAAAGCGCCAGACAGCTGAATGTTGTCATAATTCATGACAATGTCTAAGTGTTTTAAGATGTTGGTGCAAGCCACCAGTAGGCTTTGTTTCAACTGATGCCGGAGCAGAAGGATTCGCAGTATTAGCGAATACCGCGAGAATACATGTTTACTCATTTCAGTGCCTGTCAATTGAATACCGTCTGGATTGGAAGCATCCTAAATAATCTCAGAAGATTTATATACACGCAGGCATGTGCATGCATGGATATACGTACTTTTGTAAGATGATGTAAATGGTTTCTTCGAGACGATATCACTCCGTAGCTAGCACTAGTAAATTGCTTAGATTTTACAAAATTGATTATGGAAACGGAGTTCATTAATGACTCGCCGATGTCAACACTACTTATGAAAATAAGAAAACTTTTCAATTGGTTTTGTACAAAGTAATTAAAGCGCATACAGTTCAGTTACAAAACGTTCCAAGGTATGCGTACCTTGTGGTATTTTATACGTTTAGAATACATATATGCGATTTGAGAGGCATCATTTGCAAAAGCTTTTACAACTATTTAAAGTCAGTTGTGCGCAAGAATTTACGGGAAAACATATTAGAAACGTATTGTGAATGCGTACCATAAGTAGCTATCTCTGGCCGTATTTGTACAGGAATACTGCAGCTGTGCCCACGCCAATTCAACCTGCTGGCTAGCGACAGGGCTTCCAATGTCGGCGTCCATGTTGCATGGCGTTCCACTGGCGTTAGCAAATTTATCCTCGCTAGGTAATGTGAACGGTTTAGGACAGCCTCCTCAAAGAACTCCAGACGGCATTTTGTAGTTGGCTGCAACGAAAAGCCACGTACCAAGTGGGTTGATAACTTGATATACTTCGTGTCTACATGACTAACTTACTCAGCAACAAATTTTGGCTTTCGATAACATAGGCCACGAATACTGAATCCATGTACATAGTTATCCATTTTAATAAATTATATCATTTTGCGAGAATTCTTAATTCAAATTGCCAAGTAAATTACTCACTTTCAAACTTATATCCGTGGTCTGCATAAATGAAATTATCACGCGTGTAGCGTTTGGTCTATAATGAGTTAATTTAGCTTGCGCGCAATTACATTGTGTAAACTAAAGTCAGATTATTTGTACTTTAGTTAATTAACTTCTGAGCACGGGCCAGGGCACATGTAAAACAATAACGGTAGTTCGTTATCCACGGATTGTGTAAATTTTGTGTGAAAGCAATAAGTCTATGTTAAAATTGGCGTTATGTATTGAACATCAGTTGACTGGTGTCGACATGCTTACAAGTTGAATGTTTGATCACAAAGCGGAAATCGTATTAACATTACTGAACCCAGCTGTATGACGTTAAATACTCAGCTTTATTCTACTTAGAACAGGCTATAGAGCAATTGTGATATTCTTATCGGTCTGGAAGCGCATATATCTACATGTCCAAATCTTGGGTTTATTTCAGATGACAATTAATTCCCAAATTAAAAAGTATTAGCACAGCACATTGATGAACGTGTTACAAAATTACATCACATATAAACGAAACTTGTGACATGAGAGCTCACCGTTTTACCACAAGTCAGGAACGTTATTTAGTGTACAAACGATCACTAGGCAGAATGTCTTTCGCAGTTCCAACAGCACGTTCAGCCGGAGGTAGACTTCATTTAAGTCAAAGTGCATCCGGCTTTCGTAAACATAAATCGGACGATTCATTTGTATACTAAACGCACCTAAAAACAGTTCATATCGATTATGAAAAAAATTTGACTTAAGCAGTGCGCACAATACATGGGTCCCATTATAGGCACACGGAAAGTTAAAAGTAAGCTTTCTAGATTACGATCAATTCAATTTATTTATGGTTCATTAAAAGTAAGTTGTCCAGAAGGTTAGTATTTCGAATCGATGTGCAACACTAAAGTAATTATTTACAACCACATTTAATTTACGTCATTTGCTTAATAATTATCAGAAAGCAAGTTCTACACCTACGCTACAATTCCGAATAAATCTTTGAGACTCCTAGCAGATTTGCAGCTCGAACAGAATACACGTTTTTCCGCCAAAAACTTTATAAATTTGATGTTTAATACTTTGTAGTGGATAATTCTGTATAGTTATTTTGCCAAAAGTACTGTAACACGAGCTGAATTTATAATTTTGCAAATTTTGATCAAATATGGACTTGCGTTTTCGAAAAGCTTCATGCAGACGTCGGTTGACTGTTGCTCGACTAACATAATCACGTCCACATCTTTGGAATAAAGGTAAAGGGTCATATATCATACTGAATAATATTTAGCAGATTACAACTGGGAAGAATTAGTTAAATGCGGGATCGGTAGTTAATTATCGCATTTTATCATTCAAGACGTGGATTTAAATATTCAGGTTCCTACAGTCCTAAGCTGCAATTGGACGAGTTGGAAACAATCTCAGTCGTTATCAAATAAAGTTACTTCGGTAAACAATTGAAACATTGCAACTCACACATCTTATTCGCATCATTCGCTGTCAAACGAAGGAAGAAATATACATAACTTAATCGCTATAGGTATATCATTTTGAGGAAGGAACTTGTATTTTTTCATAATTATCTGTAGATATGCTATCGCTGCAACCAGTTAAAGTGATTTTATCCAATCGTTTACTCTGTTGTTTGGAAATTGGTGTGGCTAGAGACTATCGAAATAGGACCGAGTGCCTGCGGGGTCAATTTGGATTATTTGTTTGTAGATGAATTGTGTATGCAATCTCAATGTATGCAGAGATCCACACTGCAGTGCACCTTGGTCAATTTGGTCACCTAAACCATAGTAATTGAAGCAGAACGGAATAGGGTATGCCTGCCCGAAAGCACTGCGCACCGCGACGCTTTTCAACCTTTTGATATCATCAGGTGGATATGGCAGATTTCAAAGCAAAAATCTTAAATTGTTTCTCTGCTGAGTCACGTGCTTATTTTCCCTGGTTGCTGCATTTGTGTTTAACTTGCGGTAACTCATTGAAAGCAAATAATAACTTTTACTGGGGCTTAGCATTGGTGCAACTAATTTGTTTTAGTAACAGCAAATACTTACGCAACTGCATGGGCCAATGAACTCCAACAACTTCAAAGTTATTATTGTCCGATTCATACGCAATGTCCTTGAGAAACCGCGCTGGACCACTCCAATTTTCAGGAAATTCCCAAGTGACGCTGTACTTGTTGTGGTAGACTGTACTACAATTATATGCTTTGGAACTGTCTGGTGTTGGGTCGCATTCCGTGACCACCACTGCATCGTTCCTTTTGGCAACATCGTTAAACTGCATTGAAGATAATATATCAGGCACTAAGATAACGGGGCATCCGTGTCAGTGAATTGGCATGTGGTGAGGGGGAACGATTTGCGTAACGTACAATGGCATTAATATAAAATCGGCGCAACCTTTACCAACGTCACTAAGCCTAAACTAAGTACGTCGTACGAAAACTAAACTAAAAACTTCGAACAGATAAACCTAGAGTTAACGCACAGTCTGGGCAGAAGAAGAAAACGAATTATTATTCTGTAACCATGGTTCTATAAGTCATAATAAATACAGTACATGACTTACGAATAGGTTTCGCAATCGTAATGCAAGTGGGCAGAAACTGTCCAGCGTGGGGCGGATCGAGTATTCGGGCAGTGTCACAGTAACACAATAATAAGAATGACCTTGAAACCTCAAGGGTGTGTCAGTGATGGAGTGTAAGAAATAAATATGCGATTTGTTAAGCGCTTATAAAACACAGAAAAGCAGTGCAAATGTGCAAGATAATCAGGGAAAAGAGATACCGTGTCCTCAGGTAAGCAACCCAGTTTGGGGATACATCAAAGTTCCTTTTGGACTTTACACAACCCATGCTACAGAAATGCTGGGCAGTGTCAAGGCGATGCATTGCTACATTACAATATGTCTGTCACCTCAAGCAAACAAGTCGAATGGTTCAAATATCTAAAGCATGATAAAGAATAAACCTGGTTTCTTAAAGAAGGCTCCACAAAGATGGTATGGCACCAAGCTTATCTTATTCGGCTCTTTCTTTTTATTCTTTAAAATATTGTATAGCTTCACTCACAAGATTGTGCACAATTTCCTTTGGATGGGAGTTCGCCCAAATTTTCAGTTTAAATGCTGCAACAAGCAAGGTAATTAGGAGGAGAAACGAAAACAGAAGCACCTAATACAATATTTGCATGGTTTGACCGACTGTGGGTGCTGGACGTACTACCAAACTTAGGTTATTCTTTCTCAAGGATTTCAACGGATGCATGCAGGCTACCTCTACCTGACGTCATCAAGCAAATATATAAAGGCACAACTTAGATCTATCAGTCAGAGTACAGCAATGAGAGTCGGAACCATATAGCGTGGCAAGGTGGTTCCACGAGCGAGTTTCCCCATGAACACGATCAGCGAAACATGTCTCAAGTAGCTCATCCGTTACGTTACCATTCGACGTTCGGAACCATTTCGTTGTAGTAAACCTGTGTCAGCGGGAATTAAATGCACATGCTTAATTGTGTCTGCTCAAAACATTCTAAGCTGTGTACCTGCGCTACTACTGTGAATACATAACTTAGAATTTTGACCATTTATCCAGTACAGAGTAAACAAATGTCCGGTGGACAAATTAATGGGTTGTAATAAAATCGGGAAATTAGTTACCTAGTTGTATGAATCCAGTGCATCCGAATAGTTACATCCTGACGCAAAATTCATGAGAAACCAAATTTACAGTAGGCGGTGCTTTGTTTTGGAAATCACCGCCCAACTTCCACACAGTTGCTGTGCAAATAGTTGGTGCGCTGGGAATAATGAAGCAATTTCTTATCTGTATTTAACCATTAGATTTTGAATAAAAACAATGCCCGTGTGCGTGTGCCGAGCTATTCAGCGTAACTGCTCCTAATCGCAGTTAGAAAAGTTAACTAGCACTCACCGTACTGCCCTTGGGGGAGATATGGTTCTGAAATTAACAGTTAATAGTTAAAGAGTGCGAACAAGCGCCAATAGGTTTATATTGCTGCACAACTGCAGTGGTGTATCCAAAGTCCTGCTGCACAAATAGAGCCTACATAATACGTTCAATTTTTTAGCTTAGATGAACATTTAATGTGTTACCTAACTATACACTTTAACCCACTTTCCGTAAATTTGTCTTGTAGAATCGAAGGAATCGCTATTGATCCATCCATTCTTCGTAGTAACTTTCCGTTTGCTTTGGTCAAACTATATTCAATGCACACGCATGTCAACTCCATCGATCTTGCGTCATAAAACCATCTATTTAATCCACAAGCTCCATCCGAAGATATATTGAAAGATTTGCGCTGAATGAGACAACAGTACAATATGGAATTTATAATATGCTAATTTTGCATAGCAAACTAAGGAATTGTGCTACAGCCTAAGTGGCTACAATGGGTCTATTAAGGCTCACAGATTACTTACTTGCACTAACAAAATCGGTAAACCGATAAAAATGTTACTAAGATTACCAGAGTGTGCCAAAACTACTGCTAAACAGAAATAGACAAATAATATACATAAGTTAATATGCCTAATAGAAATACTAACTTGAAGATCACAGGGAACAACCACATTTGCCCGGGAAGTTTGATTCCTAAAGTTACTTCTCAGCTTCCGGTTCCTTGCAACCGTAACAGAGTAGAAACCTTGACGAATAGATAGGATATCGTAAACCTCATGTGGATATTGAAATCGCGAGTAGCTCGCAATTCATATACATCTGTATACAAACATATGTACATATACGTATATACTCATAAATGCGTATGTTAAGCTACATGATTCTATTGAACACTACAAGTTCGGTGCTAACCAGTATAATGAGCAGTTAAGGTATGGGCAAATTTGTTTGTCTGCCTCGTAATTTAGTAGAAGAGCATCATTGGAAAACCAAACAAACTACGTAAGTGAACCAACCAGTCTCGTTGTTTTAATGAAACAAGGCAGTGTACAGCACGAAACAAGTCCTTATTCTGATAAGGATTCATCCCATTAGTTAAACAGCTACATATCATAGCCTAGTCCGGAAAGCGCTTGACGCGTTTCGCCCCATTGGGTCTCGTCAGTTGCGCGTATTCCCTTAGCCCTGTAATGCGGATGGAACTTATAGACACTAGAGGCAGACGCCAACTAGCCAGCAACTTAAGAAACTGAGCCATAGGAGCGTTGGCTGCGCTAGATACTTCTCAAACTAACTGGGATATAGTACCACAAATCTTTCAGTGTCACTGACAGTGGTTAGCCTGCAAGATGATGACTTCCTCTCGCGACGCTAAATCCATAGCATTTTGAAACTAGGAAAGGCGATACTAAATTTAGATTACTCACGAGTAGCAGGATGTTTGTTGTAATTCTGACAAGGCTTTCATCCAAGTGGTGCACAACCTACATAGCAGAGCCTAGGGCGAAACGCGTCTGGTGATTTTCGGACTAGGCTCTGCTTTATAGGTTGTGACCTACTGGGATGAAATACTTATCAGAATTACAACTACTATCTTGCTACTCGTGAGTACTATAAATCCTTAAATCTTTTCAAGTGAAGTGCTGACTTTCCGAAGTAAGGTTCTTTGTCTCTCTATGTAATAACAGGATTCAAATGAATCAGGAAACCAACTCGTCATTTGACGAATAATTACAGTACCAAATAATAAAAGTTAACGCAAAATTATGTGTAGCACCAGTTACAAGTGAAATTGTATTAGAGGCAGCAACTGAGCTGGTGGAATAAGGTACTAATGGTTTATGGCAAAACACTGCAAATTGGATAAATAACCACAGTCAAAATATTTGTCTATTAAAGCGAAATGAGTACAAACTGTGCTTCCTACTTTGATAGTGCAAACCAATTTATGTGCAACACCCAGTGCCCATAAGTTACGAAACGTTGTTAGGACTGACTAAATGAGATGTATTCGAATGAATTTATAAACTCACTGCAGCTGACATAGAGCAAACAAATTATGAGGCACAAAATAATTGCCTTTAACATCTGGATAGCGGTGCAGTGATATTGCTGCGCCTCTCGCTGCCGACTAACTAAACCACGAGCATAATTGTTCTGTCTCGTGCTGTATAACATGGGACAAATACAGACCAATCACTGAACAGACCGCAAAGATAAGCACTGATTGGAACCACCTGTGGCTGTCTGAGATGTTGCTTGTCTGCGCTTAACGATGTCTTTCACGCACGACGTGTATGTGAACATTATTAGCACACTGCGCTTAGTGCGTCTGCTGTTTATTTAGGTAAATCCTAGCTTATCTGTGCACAGTAGTAGTAACAGTATCAGATATCGTCCACTTCATTTGCAATGGAGTCCCAGTTTTGCTAAGTTGCATCGCCCTATGAAAGAAGTGGGGCTTACGGAGCATCAGTGATGTAGCGGCATCGACAGTCTATGCTGCATGATCCTTTAATTTGTACCTGCTAAAACGGTTGCCGTTTCTTACCATCAAATACATGATACAAAACCAGAAGCAAAATGCATATAAATCTGACCATTAGTAAAACACTGGAGAACTAAATGAGGTATACCGCGATACACATGTAACCTTAGTTCATTGGATAACTGGGACAGTAGCTAAGAGAGATAGTGTGAAAACGTTTCCAGCCTGAAAACAATGCGTATCATAACTGGTTTGAAGTCAGTTTTCTTTAAGATACCAGTCGAATGCGTTACGCTTAAGCCACCGAAAACAATCAGCAACGCGTGGCGCCACAGGCAATGTATGATTGAAGGGATTAGTTAAAGCACTCGATGTGTGGATGGGATGCGACGCGCAATGTAAATGTAGGCTAAAACTTTCATTGAAGTGTAGCTTGGACAAATTGATCAATGCGACTGTGAGTGATGAAACAGCATATTATTATCCCAAATACCACTGCAATCCACGATCCGCTTGGAAACTATTGCTCACCTCAACTGTGGATAGCAGTCACGCAAACTGCGAGACTCTGGATGTCCACCGGGAGAAACACCCTGGAATTACTGATCAAAATTCTGTGCTTTAGTTTGGGGGGCTTCGGCAGAGGTACAAATGACGTCCTTTGGACAGTTGTGAACGCCGATTAGCAGCATTGTCGCTGTAAATGGACTGCATTTATTCCGTAGCCAGAGAAGAGCGTACACCGCCAGAGATGGCCGGATTGTCGTCGTTGTCTAGCAGAAACAAAATACCTCTTACCTAATTGAGGAACTGGTCAGATCTCTCAAGGAGTAGCAGGCTGTTTTTAGGCGACGCAAGACAATTTGG